CAATATCATTCCCCAACCAGGACAAAATTCTTTGGAAGGCCATGGTCTTGCATTTGAGAGAAATATAAAGAGAGAGGGGACAGAGAAAGAGAGAGAGAGAGAGAGAGAGAGAGAGTTGCCAAGACAATTAGGAGTTAAAAAAAAAAGCAAGCCACAATTATAATGAATAAAAAAATCAAGGGAACAATAACATTTTAAGTCATCCTCTATAATGTTCTGTATATGTACTGCAATGATTATTTAAGAAATAAATAGCAAATTTTAAAGGTCCTACATGTTGTTTGAATAGCCATTATATTCCTATGTGTGTAGAGAAATATGTGGTATATATTATTCATTTTTTAGTCTACTTAGTGAAATTCTTATTTCTTGGATTTAGAGATGCACGCACCAATAGTGTTATAGTTCCTTATTGGTAAGTACTTCTTAATTATATGGAGACTGTCTTTGTGTTAGGTTCATGCTAGAAATGGGGGTACACATTAAAACAGCACAGTTCTTACTGTCAGGAACCTTGTAGTCTGTATAACTGTTTGCATGTGTGACCTTCTAAATATCCTGCTCGCTGTGATCTTAATCCTTCCATTATATAATGCTTTATGGGTCAATTGTAGATACAAATCTTCTGTAAATAATTAAAACTTACTGTTCCTTGACATAGATAGAGTTCACGTTCAATCCATTCTGATTCAGTATAATCCACTAGATGCAAACCCAAAGCTAGCCATCATTAGCTATGTGACCTTGTGCTAATTACAGGAGTATTGAGCTAGTTTCCTTGCATAAAATTTATCTAAAAATGCTATGCATCATGCCTAGCATATGCGAGAGACTCAATAAAGCATTTGTACGTGCGCGCGTGCACACACACACACACACACACACACACTATAATGTGTGCTTAACAAATATTTGTAGTTTTTTTGAGGTTTTTAATATGTAAGCATGGATTTGAATGGAGTTAATGATGTTTGAGTTTCCAGTTTTTCCTTATGACCCAATGTCCCATTTGAAAGTTGGCTGTGACTTTGGGTATAAATGGGGGACCTGAGTGATATTAGTTGGCCACTGCATTGCTCACACCACGGAGCAGTTTTGCTGGTGGGTGGAGGACAGCTACAACCCACTCCACGGAGTCCATACAGAAAGAGCAAGTCGATCAACATGTCCATAAAAAGTAAGAAAGACTTCAAAATTGCAGGTGCATATCTACATGCCAGAAAATATACGGGAACTTAAAAAATAAATTGGAGAATTTTCCAGTTGAACAAACTCTTTATTCATACAGAATGATGAATTGGTATTGAAAAAATAAGCTGTCTTTAATGATAAAGGTGCATAAGCAATTTCCTTGATAGGATATTAAATCCTTAAAAAGATCAGGTGAAACTGCAACATTTCAACATAATATTCAATCAGATAAAGCTGAAAAATTTCATTACTCTTTTCTCCCAGGGACTGTTATCTTGTGGAGCCTGGGCTTGCTTTGATGAGTTTAACAGAATTGATTTGGAAGTACTTTCTGTGGTTGCTCAACAAATCCTTACTATCCAAAGAGGTAATGGACTGGTCTCTTTTGGCATTGTGTGAAACAATAGAAGAAATATGGGTGGTAATAAATGACACAAGCCACATTATGGTGGTATTGCTGAATCATGTCTTCCTTGATTGCCCACAGGCATTAATGCAGGTGCTGATATCCTAGTATTTGAAGGAACTGAACTAAAACTGGACCCTACGTGTGCTGTCTTCATCACAATGAACCCTGGGTATGCTGGGCGGTCGGAACTGCCAGATAATCTGAAGGTATGGAGGGCCGTATAATTATATCTTCCACTCCATTCGTCCACGATTTGCAAAGTGTTAACATTTCACAGAAGAAAGAATTCCTACCCCAGAATTGTATGCAATCATGCACTTAGGCTTTATAATATATTAGAAAATTATTCTAGATGATAATTTTTAAAGCTTTGAATGCTTTAAAAATAAATATCTAACCCATGTACAACTTTCAGACTTTACAGTTTTAAAATAAGGCTGATTATAACAAATCATATATTTATATTTTACATAAAACATATAAAGATACTAAAATGGTACTTATTAACTACCTACTATATTGTGTTCAGTGACCACGGTTTTAAATGCCTTTTTAAGAAACAATGTTTAGATCAGACAGTAATGTACAGTGGGAGTTTTTCAAGTTAATATTATAATGTGAGCCTTTTCTCATCTGTAGAAGCGTGGGCCACACTCTGAATAAGTTAAACTCTTCTTCCCGCTGGACATTTCAGTTACTTTTCGTTTCCCTGCATTATAAGTAATATCACAATGGGCAGTTTTACTTGGAGCTTTTGCTTGTTCTCCGATTCGCTGTTCTAGCTAGAGGCAGAGGCGAGCTGTGTTGCGAAACTGCCTCCCGGTGCCACAGTTCACCTCCTGCAGCTGCTCCCGGGCCTCGGGCAGCACCGCACTAACGTTTTTTTGTTGTTGTTACAAAGAACGAAAGGCTGCCCTGATCGGACAGAGGAGAGCCTTCACTTAAGAAAACGGCTCATTTGATTATCAGTGAAATATCTTTTCTCTGTGTCTGTGTTAGCCACTTTACATCCTTTCCTGGGAGCTGCATGCGTGCTATGGCTTGTGCACTGAGAGGGCTGTGGGACACTACGTAGTGCTGTGGCACTTGTGGGTCCCAAACCAGGCCGCCCCACACGCTCCTTCAGGCCTCTGGGTTCAGTGTGGAAACCGGCAGCTTCTCAAACTGGAGGAGCAATGTTTCTTTGTCACGGAAAAGACTTTGCCACCACTAATTGCTGGAAGTATCTTGGTCTCCGCCTCATGTCCTCCTGTGTATTGGATCAGATGTTTTGTTTGGTGCTGTGCCTTCCTGGAGGAAGGTGTGATTTAAAAATGAAAGCCGGAGAATCCTTTATCTAAGAAGCATTTTGTGACTTTCCCTGGCAATTTTCCTTTGGAAAGTTCTTCTTGTAGCAGTTATGTGAGCCATTCACTTAGGCTTTTCTTTTATTCAGTAGGTTCAACCTGCATGCATAAATATTTATAAAAGCAGGGAAAACAAACCTCTGTGAGGAGCTGGTCATTAAACGCTGGAAACCATTACTGGGTTATTGGTTGAATCTGTTAGCGTCCCACACAGAATTTTTCCATGGAGTGCGCGTTGAAACACAATCAAAATGTGCGCCCCGTGGTTCTCGGGGTAACGCGTTTTCCTCCTCCATTAAGCCCAGCGCTGTTCTCGAGTTCGCAGCTCTTTTGTTGAGCTGTTGTTGCTCTTCCCGTTGTGCTGTCTTGGTCAGCGCTGCTACAGAGCGTTTGTTTTCACGCATCTATGGAAATGCCTAACAAGTCTGAAAGGAAATAGTAACATATTCAATGCAAAAAATAAAATAAAGGAAGAAAAAGGCAGCTGAGCCCCCAAAAGTGCTGTTAGCAGTCGTTGGAATGTTCTGGAAACCTCCATCCCTTTCACTGGCTGTTCCCAGCTCTCATCTCATAGATGTCTTGTCTGCATCCTGCAGGTCCTGTCCCTGCCACCCCTGGTCTCATCCCTTCCCTCTCCTCTGGGGTGTGTGATTGTGACGGCTCACACATTGCTCATTGCCCCCGCTGGGACTCCCCTCCCCAGTTCCCCACTGCAGTGCTGCTTGTGTGATCTACCACAGCAATCTAATCATCCCATCGCCGTGCTTTAAGAAACCACAGGGCTCCTTTTTGCCCACCAAATCAAGCTCAGACTTCTTAGTACAGCCTCTGAGCACTTGGCCTTGGGACCCGCTTCCTCGGTGCTGCATTTCCCTGCTGTTCTGTCACCAGGGGCCTCCCGGCCCTGGAACACCCCCGCCAGCCTGTCTGCCTGCTATTTGCTGTCTCTAAATCCCCACTTTGCGGCCTGACAAATCAATTCGGACCCCTCCTTTCCACAAGCGGTGGAGCCCAGACACACACAGTCGTTCAGACGTGACCACCTGGCTGCCGCCCCTGGACGCAGCAGAGCCTCTGAGCTGCTGTGCGGTATGCACGTGCTCGGGTTCCTAGGGTTCCTCTCTTAGGTCCCCTGCCTGCGGCTCCTGAGGCTTGGATGACAGGTCTGCTACTCAGTCTCATTGCTTCTCTCTGCCTGAACCTCTGGTGGCCACTCTCCCTGGACTTCAGAGCTGGAAAGCTGTCCCCTCCCCATGGGGTAGGACCTCCGTGGCGCCAGCTGTCCCAGCAGGTGCCAGGCACTGGTCCCCTTGCTTCCGCTGATGAGAGCCAGGCACCCCACCATGGCCGCCAGTGCAGGAGAACCTTCCTAGCTCTACTGAACTTAGGGCAGTGGGGGACGGTGTGGGGACTCAGCATAACTGCAGCTCCCTTTGAAGGGCATCCTTCCACAAACCCTCCCTCCTCCTCACACTCTCAAACCCCTGCTGACCTGAAGGATGGTGCAGATTCACAGGCTGTGTGTGTTTCCTTCGTCCATTTCTGTATCAGGCAGGTCACAGATAATTGGGCACTGGACAAGTATCACTCTATGCAGAAAGAGTCCCATTTGGATATCTGGTTATATAAAACCTCTTTGACAGAGCAATTTCCTAAATATATTTCCCCTTCAAAGAAGCTGTGTTTTAGTCTGAAACTATTCTGAAAAATCTGTACTCAGCGATCATTTCAGGGTAGGTAAATGTTGGAAGCTGTAGTAAAATGGGCATCTTCTACACCTCCCAAGGTCACGAAGCAATAGCTCTCAGAAGTAGTGTGGTGAGACACTTAACACGATCGAAGGGAAGAGCAAAGTTGACCCTCCGTCTTCCATTTCATTCAACTAAAATCAAGCCTTTTCCTGAACGGGTCAAAGTATTGGTGAAATCGATTCCCAGGTCCTTAGAAAGAAGTGGGTAAGACGTCACTACTTGAATTTTTAAAACTGCACCAAGATGCAGGCCTTTGAAAGAACAGTAGTGGCAGCAGATGCATTTTTTTATGTGTTGCCTTCTTCTTCATCCATGGAGCAGAAGCATTGGAACAATGATTCTGATTAGCTCACTGAGAATTATATATATGTATATCCAATAGATAGATTGATTGATTGATAGATATCAGAAAGGTATACCCTTGGATAAACTGGAGTCCCACTGGAGTTTTTTCACCAAAAGCACTAAATTTTTCTCAGACTTATTGCTATACTAATAAATTACTCTTGACACATCTAGAATCAAACTGCGTGATACCAATATGTCACACACCCCGTGTGAGAATCACAGGATTCAGCCTAAGTCTTTTAAAGTGATCTAAAGTACGTATCCACGCTGAGTCCTCGGTGGCAGACTCTTAACCAACAGCACAACGTCATGAGCTCCTGAGCTCCTGAGCTTCCTTTATTTCTTGTCCCCTTGCCACCAATGTGTCTGTTTCATTGTGTGCCACCACCAAATCGCTGCCAGGGCTGAGAGTGTAGTAGGAATTTGAGAAATACCTCGGGTAGTCAGAGGAAAATGTGACACGTGCAGGTATATTGGCCGCAAAGTAGTAGTCATGTGTACCATGGTAGAAAGACTGCGTCCAACCCCGACTGAGCTGTCAATTCAATCATTCTTTTACTTGTTAAAAAAAGTAGTTGTGAAGAACCACTGTTTTCAAGATCTGGCCAGCAACTGCCTTTCCTCCTGTTTTTGCTTTGTTTTCTCCCGTGTAGGTAGTGGTCACTTGCTTAAGTCTCTGATCCGTGTTACTTGCTCACACTATATTTTTTGATGTTTTACTCCTTCTCAGTGGTAACCTTCTCAATAAAGCAATAGTATTAAAGCTTCTGACTAGTAATCTCGTAACATGTTGGCAAGATCTGCTGCAGATCTTTCAGTTCTCAAACTTGGAAGAGTCACAACTGGCCACTTAAGCAAGAGGTTCATTTTTTTTCTGTCTCCCTTGTGGTTTTGGCAATTCTACTAATTTCTAGAAGGTGTGGTATTTACAAATTCTATTACTATAACTGCCACTCACTCTAGGGGCTTCTTTTCTTTCCCTAGAACACTGTTTTTCTTCTGTAATATAGAAAAGTCGTGTTTGAACACAGGAGCTATTGCAGTGAGTACTGATATACACTAATAATCTAAACCTAATTTTCATATTAATTCTTTAAAAATCGATTCTATTTTCTATTTATTTACCATCACATGACATTTATTTGTCTCACAGTGTCTGAAATACTGGGAGAGTAAATTGTATGACTTGGAAAGCTAACTCATCTGTAGCAGTGACACCCTAGCCTAATTTCTATCCTCTTTCCTTTGTTACACTTTCCAAAAGATTGCCATAGCGACCCCCGGTGGTTTCAGAGTGTCCTAATACACATCCTTTACCCAGCACAGCCTTGCTAGCGGGGCTGCCTGGTTCTCTCCAGCTTATAAAGTGTGGTGTGAAGCCGTCCAAGAGCCTAGGTAAGAAGCCTGGCTTTTAGACATCCTTCAGAGACAAAGGTTTCCCATACCACAGAGCGGACAGAGCATAGCCAATACTAAACATTCACATGGAAATGATACAAAAGCTAATGATATATTTATTATGTGGGCGTAAAAGAAAACCAGTTGGTTCAACTGTTTTTATATGATTTGAACAAATGCTTGCAGAAAAACGGTTAGTCCGTCACATGTTGTGACTGTAGAGCAGTGCTACTTTTGTACTAAAAAATATTTTCATTAGTCCGGATTTGCAGTGCACACCGATTACACTCCTCGTGGGGAGTTGGCGCGTGTGGTAACACATCTTCCTTCTCTTTACGTCCAACCCGCATCTTTTGATTCTCTCCCTGTTTGCAAAAGATCTGTGTCCCTGTCTCCTATTATCTTTTATTTTGTGCCTTACCTTATTTATGCATTGGGTTTCTCATAGAAGAAAAACCATGTGATATTGAAGCCCATGTGTCTGACCTACTTTCCTCAGCCTTACGGTCTCAGGGCGCACCATCTTCCTGCAGATGACTCCAGTGTATCCTCCTTCATGCGGGTCAGTGCTCCATGGTGTGTAGTTACTTTCCGTTATCCGTTCATCTGGTGATGGCCGGATAGGCTGCTTCCGAGAAGCAGCTGGGGTGTGGTCGCCTGATTAAGAGCACCTTTCCTGTGCACCCCTAGGCTCTCTTCCGGACGGTAGCCATGATGGTCCCCGACTATGCCATGATTGCCGAAATAGTCCTGTACTCCTGCGGGTTCGTCACTGCTCGGCCGCTGTCGGTGAAGATTGTGGCCACCTACCGCTTGTGTTCAGAGCAGCTGTCGTCGCAGCATCACTATGACTACGGGATGCGAGCCGTGAAGTCGGTGCTGACAGCCGCCGGGAACCTAAAGGTAGAAACTCAATGCTTCTGACTTGCCCCTTTGTGCGTCGTACTCTGTGTGTCTTCGTGGAGTGACGAATTGCTTTCCCTAACTGAATGGAATCATGATTGTGCTAAAATAATCTATCACTTTGCACACACGAAAAGGAAATTTTATAAAACCTTCCCTGTGTGATTCTTCACGATTTGAGTACTCTCCCATAATTTAAAATATATAAAGCTGGGTGCTACCAAGGAATGAAATTGTTTACTGCTGAGAATTTATTTTTGTTTGTTTTTCTGGGACAGGGTCTCACTATGTAGGCCAGGCTGGCCTCGAACTCATAGCAATCCTGTCTCAGCCTCCTGTGTGCTGTAAGCACAGGCGAGCAGCATTATGCCTGGTGACTGCTGAGAAATATTTTGAAGGCTTGTAGTTTATAGAACCTGTATCACTTTAAAGGAAAAAAAGTGTAGTTAATAAATATATGGAAAGGCCCTAAAACATGGTGATATAATATAATTATCAATTGTAGCATACTAACCTAGCAGTAATTGATTTGCAATAAAATATTTCCATTTAAAATGGTCTAATCACGTAAAAACATACTACATGAAAAACCTAAATTTTTAAAGACTTGGTTAACTTTTTATTGGAAATTATTTTGTGGTGCTACAAAATATAACTATATTGAAGGCAGAAAGTAGACTCGAGGTTACAGTAAAATGTGACCTTGGAGTTTACAAAATTTTCACATTCATGATTTGTAGAAGATATGGATTTGAAAATATATGCTACATGATTAAGGACATGGGTATGCCTTTTTGTCTTCTATCATAATGTTATCAAGAATTGTGATATTTAGTAGTGATAGCCCGCTTCACATTAGCCTAACATAACTTCAAGTCATTGTTTTCTACAATAAACAGAAGTGGTTAGAAGCACCAATTTATATTAACCTGGCATGTCAGGATTACTGTAGGTGTGTAGGCACTGAGGTCTGATAATGGGAAAGATAACGCATTGTTCTAGAGGGTGTCATCCCTGAAATCTTGACTATGGAATCAATCAAGCTATCAAAGTCAGGCTGCAAACAAATCCTGCAGATGATCCTATCATTCTTTGTCAAAAGCTAATTTAGAGTTGTTGAATATTTGAAGCCTCTTTCTGTTATATCAAGAGACAATTTAAACATTTGCTTTGAAATAATGGCCTCTCGGATAGCAAGCTTCTGACACCGATTTCTTTGTGGTTCGAGTGATCAAAGCTGGAGCTCATAGCAATCCAGGGGAGCGGGGTCAGCTTTGGCCCTGGGAGCCTGGCAGAGGCAGAGGTGGTCAAACCTGGCAGCAAGGAGCCGGGGGCTTTTGTAAGGCTAAGGCACTGAAGTAAGCCCGAGGCATTTATTAGGGAGAAAGACTCTGGGGAGAAAAGAGAGTTCTGGCAAACCAGTGTATGGTGGTAGGAGAAACTCTGCAGTGAGATGTTGAGTAAAGCATTCAAACGGGTAAAATAATTCTGATTTGGATTTTTGTTAATTGTGTGGGTGCTGTCGTAGCCACAATTTCAGACTAGCAAGTTCAAAGTCCAGGCCACTTCATAGTCAACTTCGGGCTTGCCTGGGATGGTTGGGAGTTTCACATACGTTTGCCTCAACGCTCTCTACCTAACCGGGACAAGCAGCGTCTCCACCCTGCTGCTGCTGTGACAAACCGGCCGGACCGTGCTGTGTCATGTTGTTTAGTTACCTGGTGGGAGCTGATGATATGTAAGCACGAAAAGAAGAAAAAGAAGAAGGGTTTTGTCACCATGAAAACTAAATTCATTATTTAAGAGCTTCAGGAAATATGGACTGCTAGAATATGACTTTGAATTAGGTGCAGATGAGAACGTGCGTATCAAACTTACAGACTCCAGGATGTCTTAGGATGGCGCCTGACGTCATCTCACAAGTGTCTTTGACGAGCACCATCCCCTTTAAGAGCAGACAGAACACTGCATACCTGGGTAGAGCGGCGGACAGACGCGTGACTGATGTGGTTTTGGTGAAAAGCAGAGAGGGGCACAGAGCTCTACACTCAAAGCAAAGGCCTTGGCGTTGGAATACGCATGAAGGAGAGAAAGTTGTTTATATAAATATAGTATAAATTTAAATCTAATATAAATTTATATATATATAAATTTAAATCCACTTTTTCAAAATGATTGTCCGCTTTTAACACTGTTCACTGAACCACCAACCTGCTGTCGGTCTCGCAGGCATTGGATGAGCAAGTTCTACCCAGTTCCTAGCCAACGGCTATGCCCAAACTAAATGGAATTAGTGGCCAATAGCCTTTTGTTTGGTATCTGTGAACGTGTAACTAGTACAATCTAGGTTTTTATTACACTTAATAAAAATTCAACAAGTGTAAATGTCAGTTTCTATAGTAGCAACCCAACAAAATGAAGAGGAGTAAGAGTCCATTGCTGCACCCGCTGGAATTGTGTTTGTGTATTAGAAATATGAACGAGGATGCATGTCACAGCTGCAGATATCCTCATAAGTGTGTTTTCTTTCAGCTGAAATATCCAAATGAAAATGAAGAAATTTTGCTACTTAGATCTATTATTGATGTAAATCTGCCAAAATTTTTAGCCCATGATTTACCACTCTTTGAGGTAAGAATATTCATTATTTTAATGTATCAAAACTCTTACAAGAATGTATTTATCAGGCTTGGGGATATAGCTCAGTGGCACAAGCGCCTGCTTGGCAAGCGAAAGGTCCTGAGTTCAATCCCCAGTACCAAAAATAAAAAGAATGTATTTATCAAATGTGCATATTTTCAAAGCCCCCTACAAGAAACTTCCACCGTAGAGAACAACAGCCTAGAGCAGAGAAACACAGATCATTCCTTGTCTTTATTTGAAGTGTGTTTAGCTAGCTTTGTTGCTTGGGATGACTTTCAACAACTTGGGGTTTTTAAGCCATACTTTCTTTTTACTGTAGAATATAGTCAGCAGGCAAACCTGAAGTTTGCTCACAAATTCCATGAGAAGGTAGGCTCTGTGGAAGGTACTTCAGCACACTGAATCCTCAGCAGAATAGGTACTTGGTAAACATTTGTTCAGTGAATAACTGAAAAAATGAATGAGCTTAATTTCCTTAGAAGACTGAGATGGCATGTATGAAATTTTTAAGCATAATCTTACATAAGAACCAAGTGTGGGAATCCAGTTATACTTAAGATTAGATGAAGGGTAAGTGAACGGAAGAAGTATTAGAGTAATGACTAAAGATTCCCTTATATCACCAGGTTAAGTCTGGTCCCCTTCCTCGTGCAAGGACCAGGGGGCTTCTTGTGAATGTTCGGCGCCTTGCTCCTGCATGCTGCCTTGTAGCTCACACAGGGGACATCGGCTTTCAGCTCATAAAGACCCTGTGTCTGTCCTGGTAATGGGGCAAGAGATTCTGTCGCTAGATCAGTCCGCTGACATTAGTTACCTATAGCCACGATGCTCTGTCATCTTGGCAAGAGCGTGCCTTCATACTTAGAGCTGGCAGTGCAGACATTGGGAAAAACCAGCAAGAGTTGCATTTTCTTCCTATAGTTTTCCTTGGTGTCCTTGGTACTGGTGCACTGTCCAAATTTCCCCGGATATGCAAAGACACCTCACTGCATGTGTCCTTGTGCCAGACAGTGTCCCAGGACAGGGACCGAGCAGTGTTTCTCAGGTGACGTTTGCAGTTGGCACGAGCTCCTACTGGCCAGGACTGTCCCATGCACCGTGTGGCTTTGCCCCCTGCCCCAGATGTCTAGACTTCTGTCGTGGTGATGGCAGAAGGGCACCTCCGTGTATTTCCATGTCTGCACCTGGCAGAGGGGGAGGGTCTTGGCCTTGGTTGGGTCACTGAACACCAAAGTTGCTTGCTTCTTTCATAAGCCTTCGGAAGTGTGAATAGACATCTTTGTGTGTGTGTGTGTGTGTGTGTGTGTGTGTGTGTGTGTGGTTCATCAAACCCAGGGCCTTACGTAGCTAAACATAAACCTTACCACGGAGCTGCACCCCCAGCCCAAACCATGTCTTGTGAAATAGTGCCCGAGGAAGAGTGTTCTATTCAAAGCTCCACATGACCCCAGGAGCAGTGCCATCATTATCCCTGTTTATCACCTGGTGAAACTGAGGCACAGGGAGGCAAAGTACCTGGCATTCGAGGCGGGTCACCGGGAGCTGCACTCCACCACACAGACTGCAGCAGGCTCTGCCCACTCTGCTGCGCTGCCCTTTTCTCTCCTTTTCCCCAAGGAAACTTCCTGCTTTGAGGAAGGGAGACGAGCTTCTCCACAAAGGCCTTTCCGTGACTGAACTCAGGAGTGATTAACCTAACTCCTCCTTGCTTTCCAGGCCCAGCTCCAGTGTATGCTTTCACAGCAAGCACCTCTGAAATCTCACTCTTACCTTCAGGGTGAAAGATTAGTCATCTTTCCCACATAATTGGCGGTAATATTCACAGTCTTGCCAGATTGAGAAGCTTAGTTCCTTGGGCCTTGCAATTAACTTTATGAATCCATGTACAGTACGCATGAAGTCAGAATTCTTTCTAAGTGTGCCTTATGTAATTATACTGCATCAGTTTCCTAGGGCTGCCATAGCAAAGTAGCGCAAACATGAGTCCCAAGCCGTGCTCTCTCCTGGGGCTCCAGAGAAGGTTCTTCCTCCTCCCTTCCTGTCTCCGTGTCTCTGTACTGATTTTTTTGTTTGTTTGTTTGTTTTTCCAGTACTGGGAATTGAACTCACGACCTGAGCTAAATCCCCAGCCCTATTTCTTCTTCTTTTTCTTTTTTTTTTTTTTTTGAATTTTTTCCAGTACCGGTTATTGAACTCACAGCCTTGAGCTTGCCAGACAGGCACTGTGCTGCTGAGCTAAATCCCCAGCCCCTCTGTGTCTCTCTGCAGTCCCTGAGGCTTGCTGGCTTGTTCCTGTGTCACTCCAGCCTCTGCCTGCATTGTCACATGGTCGTCCCAGGCTCTCGTGTCTGGCCCTCTCCTTTGCCTTAGACACCCGTCCCAGGGCTAAGGCCATGTCCTATCTCATATGACATTACTCAACTAATTACAGGGGTACGAGCCTGTTTTCACATAAGGTCAAATCCAAAGTTGTGGGTGGATGTGAAATTTTGGGGGCCACCATTCAGACTGTATGACGTGTTCCAAACTAACGTTTGTGTGTGCATGAGTGTGGGTGAAAGGTGTGAGTCGGCAGGTGGGTGCGAATCATTTTGGCATAGCCAGTTGCTCCAGCTATTTGTTCAGTCTTCCTTTCAAGCACTGAGCTGCCCCTGTGTCTGTGGTGAGACAGAGCTGTTTATATACATGAGGGTCTATTTCTGGACTCCTTATTTTGTCCAATGATGATATATTTGTTATTTTATACCAATATGACAGCCTTCATAATAGGCTGAGCAACCACATACTGTTATCTCTCCAACTTTTTAATTAAAATTATCTTAAATCTGTAAACGCTCAAGCTATAAAACTTGTAGCAGAAAACAGGAAGAGGTTTGAGCTATTATTACTTACTGGCTTGCTCTCCATCTTTGTACACATATTTCAGACAACAGAAGATATGTATGTATATTTAATATAAAAGCATTAAATGTAAAAATTTCGAATCATCTATTATCAGGGGATTACTTCAGATTTATTTCCTGGGGTGAAATTACCAAAACCAGATTACAATGATTTGCTGGCTGCTATCAAAGACAATTGCGTGGCCATGAATTTGCAAATGACCAAATTCTTCTCCGAGAAGATTCTCCAAATATATGAAATGATGATTGTGCGCCATGGCTTCATGATTGTTGGAGAACCATTTGGAGGGAAGACCAGCGCCTATCGTGTCTTAGCCGGTGCGCTGAATGATATCTGTGAGAAGGTACGTGTCACGAATGTGCTCATTTGTTTGTACTCCGCTTTGTGCAAGCAAGACTGTATAATCATTTCAGAAGATGCTTTCAAAATGACAACCTAAAATCACAAGAAACACGAGTCAAAGAGAAAATAAAATTGTAAAAGTAAAATGAAGCCAGTAGCAAGTTTAGTACATGAAGATTTTGCCACAGATTTACCTGCTAACCTTTTATTTCTTTTATCTTTCTAATTGGAAAGGTACATGTACGTCTCAGAGAAAAGTCTGAAAATACAGAAAAGTCTGAACGTTTTCTTGTACCACTTCTAGGAGTGTTTTTTCCCCATCTTGGGAAGTTGGATCTGTGATGAAAACTTCTATAAGGATATTAGTGGAGTTAATTAGAGGAATGTGCGTCTGTGTGTGTACCTGAGTCTGTAGATCTCTATGGTGTATGCTTTCGTGCATACGTAATGACCACTCAGATTTCTTAAACGAGCAATCCTTTGGCCTCCTGCAGTATGCTAAAGGAAGAGGGATGTTGCCCCCTCTCCCGCTAATGTTGTATCCTACTAACCCCTCCTGGTATTCTCAGTTGTTTTTACTTCTTTGTGTATTTCAGTGTTTGTGGCCTGTGTGTGATTTGTGATTGGTGTGTGTTCATTGTCTTCTTTTCAACCAATATAACTTTTGTTGTTGTTGTTTTTTATAACATTGTTTAATTCTTTTCTTTTCCATTCAGGGACTAATGGAAGAAAACAAGTTCAGTGTTTCCATGGGGGAACCTAAGGGCATGTGTATTTATTATCACTCAGACACGTGTGCTATATTTCTGTCACGGTTCTTCTCTTATACGCCCGTGCTCTTTCTTTTGTTTCTTCCTCTCCTCTCCTCTTCTCCTCCTCTTCTCTTTTTTCTTTTCATCTTTTTTACACTTTCTGTGTTCTTTGCTGGATTCCTTCTCCTGTCTTTCACTTACCTGTGCTTTTCTTGTTTTTTCCTTCCTTGTTGATTATGCACTAGCTGTTACCAAAACATGGCACTGCCTGAGGAGTAAGCCGAGGGGAGAGTAGGAGATGCATTCTGGTCGCTCGTGAGGCCTGCGTGGTTTTCTACCTGAATTCGCTGAGGGATGTTGTGATATGTGAAGGCGCCGGCCTCCCTGGCAACCGTGCAGGAGCTAGAGCCCCATTCCAGCCATTGGGACAAAACCCTCTCTTTGGTGGCAGCACCTCTACCCTGATTAGAGAGATGACAGAGCTTTCCTATGCTCCTGAATGTAGGAAGTGACATCATTAAACCACTCTTGGACACAGAGAGTAACCAAAGACCTTGAGCTTGTTTTATTGCTTAACATTATTATTTCCCATCTTTTCTTGAACTTGATAGTTTGTGTCCCAAGCTCCGGCAGGAAGAACAGAACTCTGTGTGTGTGTGTGTGTGTGTGTGTGTGTGTGTGTGTGTGTGTGGTATGAACATATGGCCCACAGTGCACTTTTAGGGTAGTGAAATTAATCTGTATTGCACTGTCGTGGTGGACGTGTGACACTGTGCATTTGGCAAAACCCATAGAATTATATCACCCAAAAACTGAACCCTAGTTTAAACTACAGACTTTGGTTAATAATAATGCACTGGAATAAACTCATTGATAAAAGCCTGCACTGCAGATTGTTAATAATTGGAGAAGCTATTGTCTGGGAGGCAGAGGAAGTATTTGGGAGTCTCTGTACTTCCTGCTCAGCTTTTCTATAAATTTAAGACTGCTCTAAAAAATAAAGTCTATGAATTAAAAATTAAAAGGCTTGTAATGCAAGGGCGCTAACATCTTTTGTAGTAATACCATAGAAATGACTTCCAGGATTCTGCCCCAAATGAACAGTTTACCAATATTAAGTCTTTCACCCCAGGAGAAGTACATATTTCCCTGTCTTTACAGCTTATAATTTTCCCACAGAGATCATTCTGCAGCGAGGGTCAGCAAATTATAGCCTATGGGTCACTTCAGCCCAAAGCCTCTTTTGCAGCGAGGGTCAGCAAATTATAGCCTATGGGTCACTTCAGCCCAAAGCCTCTTTTGTAACGGGCAGTGGTGTTAACATTTTTAAAAAATGTGTTTTTAAGAAAAAGAAAAGAAAGAAAGAAAGAAAAATAGAAATCTGGAAAACCTATAATATTTTCTATGTGGCCCTTTGCAAAATAAAATTGCCAACTCCTGTTTCATAGTTTGAGACCTCCAGATTTTGTGCACCCTTTACTAATTTCTTCCTATATATTTTGTGAGCTTTTAAATACTATCATAAAGGATATCTTAAAATGTTACCTTGCAGGTTGTCACTGGCATGGTAATAAAATGCAGTTGTGTTTTACACCTTGACCTGGCATGCCAGGCCCTTGTTAAATTCACTTCTTCTGATGGTTTCTTCATAGATTCCTTAGGACTTCCTACATACACAGTCATGCTTTCTGTGAATAAAGAAATAATTCAAAAATTGTCATAAATAACAATTCAAAATAAATCAATGATTTTTTTTTTTTTTTTTTTTTTTTTTTTTTACTCAGGGACTAATGGAAGAAAACAAGGTTCAGATAACGGTTTTGAACCCCAAGTCTGTCACCATGGGGCAGCTGTACGGACAGTTTGACTTAGTGTCCCACGAGTGGTCGGACGGGATCCTCGCCGTCAGCTTCAGGGCCTTTGCTGCGTCCCCGGTGAGGACTAACGCTTCTGCACACAGATTTTCAAAGCTTAAGCTCTTTTCTTCCAACTGTTTCTGATTTCTTCAGCTCTTTCAAATAAGCATGTATACTTACAGCTTGAGATTTTGTTTAAAACCCTTTACAAGATGGTCCAAGATGGTGCAGCAGTATTTCTGTGAACAACATTAGCACCCACAAAACACCAGAGACTGTGTAGTAAGCACTTTTGCCCTGGACAGGCACAGAGGAGAGGGTGGGAGACACAAACCACAGGGTGGGATGCTTCCGATCCGCTCTCCCAGGCTGGATTCTCCGGAAAGAAGTGCATCCGAATGACGGGGCCTTTGGTCCCTCAGTAATGTTCTTTTTTTGCCCACTTTCACATGACTGTGTGTTTAAGGCCCTGGGACTTAAACCCAGGGAGCACTGAGCTACATCCCCACATCTTTTTGTTTTGCTTTGAGACAAGGTCTCGAACCTGTAGCCGTCCTGCCTCATCCTCCAGAGAGCTGAGTTAGAGGTGCACACCCTGAGCTGGACTCCTTTGGGCACTTTTTGAGATGCTGCCATCGTCACACCCACTGATGGCTGGGTCTCCTCTGAGGCAGTCTTGAAAATGGTGTCTTAAAATTCTGATGCAACACTTGCATCCAGGGTGCCGGAGAGAGAATGGCTGGTGGGTGGGAGGTGAGTGGGGAAGGAGTTGTGCCCACTGCTGACGGTGGCACGGGAGAGGGAGTCCACACACCAGTGATGTCAGTGTGGAAGCCGGCAGTGAGCAGGTTCCCTGGAGTCTGTGGTTAGATAATTAAAGGGGCCCAGCCTGGGGGGCACTCAGGTATTTGCTGAATAATTTGCCTTATCATTGTTCTCCCTATTCTGATGGCCACACATCCTAAAGTGGGTTGTCTTTACTAATTCAGGAGCCCATCGGCCTTGACTCCTGAGTCAGTGTCATAGCACAGATCTCAGCTGAGCTCTTAAGGGCACAAAGACCTTGGACAGTGGGTAGGTGAGGACCAATGCTCCTGAGGCAGAGATCCTGTCCAGGCTAGCGATCTCCTCATAATTGTGAGGACAGACATAATTGTAGCTCGGTGAAGCCCACCGAGGTCTGGGATCACCGAAGTAGCTTCTTGGGTCCTGTCTTGCTAGCATAGATGCGCTTGGGCCCAGAACAGCACAGGACAGTGGGTAGGTGAGGACCAATGCTCCTGAGGCAGAGATCCTGTCCAGGCTAGCACAGGAAGTCTCTCGGTAATGTGTACATTTACCTCATTTGCACAGAAATAGTCACAAACTTTGTCTATTCTGGATTCAGCTGCATAACTTGCGTTTCTCAGGAACTGCGTCCCGTAAATGCTGAGTTCAGGGAGGCGATTTCCCCAGAGTCACACAGCTAAGCAGGAGAAGCAAATGAAGAGCAAAGTCCTTCCGACTGTGATGCACAAGATCTCATGGATCAGGCAGTGTGTCCCAGAAGGACAGGCCACAAGCATGGGAAGCCCATAGCCACATTTGTCTCAAAGCATCCCTGGGGTCCACTTGTCCTGAGTCAGGACCACCCCGAGGGCGGGTGACCCACTGCCTGTCTTGTAGAGGAATGAGTTGGCCACAGGGACTGAGAATGTACCCAGGTGGGTTCAAATCCCCGTCCACTTCCACTTGAACTCACATTTGCTGGAGGTGAACCAGGTAGGTCATCACCCAAAGCACAAAGGGGGAATCCCGACAGGAGGATGAGCGTTTGTGCCCTCGGTTAACAGCCTGGTATGCCCTCTTGTTTGTTGAGCGTTTACTATATTCAGAAGAATATGTGAATATTTTCATGTTTATTAAATAATCATGGGACTGTGGATGTGATGCTGGTTTGAATATCCTGCTCCATCATAAGCACGTCAGACCCAGAGGGGCTGTGTATGTGTGTATGGTTTATTTTATTTTATTTTTTTTTTGGTTTTTCTCCGGTACCGGGAACCGAACTCACGACCTTGCGCTTGCCAGGCACGCGCTTTGCCACTGAGCTAAATCCCCAACCCCTGTGTGTATGGTTTAAATGCATCCAACGGAGGAAAGAAGGAGCTGGGCTTGCACACATCATTAACTAACCTATATGGACATGTGATAATGGAATGCACATTAAGACCAATCTGTGATTCTCTAAGAACAGAAAATCCGAATGAAATTTGTTTGGAAATTTGAGTTCAGAAACATTAAGATTGAACCTTAATGAAAAATGTGGCGTTTTTGTCTTGGCCATGTGTGTATTGGGTGTTTTTGCAGCACTGAGGATTGAATGAAGGGGCATCTACCACTAAGCCACATCCCCAGCCCACTTTTTGTTTTTTTTATTTTGAGGCAAGGTCTTGCTAAATCACCCAAGCAGGGCTGGAACTTGTCATCTTCCTGCCTCTGTCTCCCAAGTAACTGGGATTACAGGCATGCACCACTGTGGCCAGCTCAGCTTCCAGCATAAGCCGTGTGTGCGCCACACTTTATCCAAAGGCTAGCTTGGGATATGCATAGTAAAATTAATTCTAAGAGTTATATTTTTGAGTTTTAAAATACTAACATTTCCTTCATTACATTTTTGTTCCTTTTTTACAATATGCGTAAAACAGACCCCAGATAGGAAGTGGTTGATTTTTGATGGACCAGTGGATGCAGTGTGGATTGAGAACATGAACACGGTGCTGGATGACAACAAGAAGCTGTGTCTGATGAGCGGGGAGATTATCCAGATGTCACCACAGATGAATCTGATTTTCGAGCCGATGGACTTAGAAGTTGCTTCTCCCGCCACCGTAAGTTCTCAATTGTGACATCTGCTTCTGAGTTGGAAGGTGTTATGTTTCTGTTCATGTAGTAGCTTTGACCTTAAATGAAGAAACAGTAGCATTCATTCTAAGAGGGACCTGTGGTCCTCAAACTCAGATACGTCTGTTGACAAACACAGATGGGCCGTTGACCGTGGATAAGACCTTCTCCTCTTTCCTCTGGGCTCATTTGCTAAGTCAGACACAAACAGAGAGGTCACGAAATTACATAAAATTGAGGTTTTGCCCCCAAGACCTTCCTGAAGATTGTGAGGAACGGACGTGCCAGGTCATGGTGCGGTGGAGGGCTGAGGCTTCGTCTTGTCCGGACTCCCCGCTTTCCTCGCTTTCCTCCCCTGCCCTGTGTTCCACAGTGACCAGGCAAAGAGGGTTTCCTTGCACTACCCTGACTTGGGCAGTGGGCACAGTGGCCCAGGAGCAGCTGCCTGCCCCGCCAGCACACTGTGTAGCACGGTAGGAACTCATCTGGGAAATAAGGCCTTTGTTTTTAAAATTCGCAGGACTGAGAAACATCTCGTACCTAGGCGGGAAGGATCGCATATGGGTCACTTGGCCACTGGTCACCTCCATCCAGGAGAAGGTGCCCCTAGGTTGTCACTAGCTGTCACCCATTGCCCTGTCTGCCATCCCTGGGCCAGCCGGCGTCTCGCGCCGAGCTCTGCCTGGCTGTGTGTGGCTGCCGTGCTTCTCCGTAAGCATCACCCGGACGGTGATCACTTGTGTTCTTCCAGGTGTCCAGGTGCGGAATGATTTACATGGAGCCGCACATGTTAGGCTGGAGGCCGCTGATGTTGTCCTGGTTGAATCTTTTACCTGCTTCAGTCAGCGCCATTCAGAAGGAGTTTATAACGGGCCTATTTGACAGGATGGTCCCTGTGTCTGTAGAATTTATTAGAAGGCACACGAAGGTAAGAGAAATGGGAAGTTTAAGATTAAAATGTGAAAGGTAAATGCAAATTAACCAAATACACCAATTCCATGTTTCTTTATGTTATCGACCCATGGACACTATATTTCTCAGCTGGCTTTTTTATTAGTCCGTGTTTGCCGTACGTGGTGATCCCGTTCATCCTGTGGAGCGGTACCCGGACGTAGCACGTCTTCTTCATCCCCCACTCCTCCCATCGCTCCTCCCTCCTCCCAACTCTCGGTCCCCCTCCCTTTTGCAAAACTGATCTTTTTTTCTGATTAAAATGAAAAAGACTAATTTATGTAATTATTCTCCACACTATTTTCAATCTTAGAATTTGAGAAAATGTTACTGGTGTTAGTCTTTGCTCTCTAAAAAAAACCAACTCAAATATTCACATAATCTTGTCAGTAAAAATAACTGAAAATGTTATCTCGTATTTGTGTGTTTTAAATTTCCACTTTTACAAGTTTCTTTATTTTACAAATGTCCTAAAAGAATCCAGACCCTGGTAGAAGGATTGGAAAGAGGACTGTGTGCAGGCATGGCCACTTTTCTTTTTCTTTCCCCAGTACACTCTGGAGTAGGGTAGACGGGGAGGTAGAGGAGGAAAAGTGGTCTTGGGAATAGAAATCTCCCGCCTCTGAGAGCCGAGAAAGCACCGTAAGCTCTGAAACTCTGCCGTGGGAAGTTATGAAGTATGCTTCATTTCTGTTGGGGAGGTCTTGATCCAAGGTCTTTTAGAATGACTGGCTCTGCAGTAAATCTAAGAGAGTAGGGCTGATATTTTTCTTGCTCTTGGACATGTAATAGAAAACCGTAAGGAGTTTGGCTCAAGATACAGATTTGGAAGATGGTGTTTAAAACCATGCTAATGTGCATTACTCAAAGGGCGGATCCAGAGGGAAAAGTAGCGAAGGATAGAACGTCAGGTGCAGTGTGACCTAGAGGAGAGGGAGGGCAGAGACCAGGGCATTTAACAAAGGACATGCTCGGTAGTCTGAGATACTCCGAAGAATTCAGGTGAAGGCAGGAAAGGGCTGCCACGTGTCCCTCTGGTTTGGCAGTTGGGGACATGGAGACTCTCAGCAAGAGCGCTTTACAGGGAGACCAGGGCACACAAGGCAGGTGGTGGAGGAATGCGGCAGTTGCTGCCTGGCAGATGAGTGTCGAAGGCTCTTTCCTGAAGCTTGGCTATAACCAAAATATGCTGAACATGCTAAGTCATCAGTCCAAAAAGTTGGACATTCATGGAGGAGGCCGTGATAACACAGTCTATGGGACCTTTCTTTTTTTCCCTAGTACTGTCAGAATTTAGGAATTACAAATAAATGATTTTCCCATATAACCAGAACTTACCCTTTCTATAGCAAAGCAGAAAACTTAAAGAAAGGTTTCTGAAATGTGCTCCTTTTTTCTCTCTTAAAGAAATTATGAATCCAGACCTATAATCCAGCTACTTGGAAGCTGAAGCAGGACGATTACAATTTCAGTGCAGCCTGGGCAATTTAGCAAGAGCTTGTCTCAAATATTTTAAAGAGGCTTTAGGAATATATTTAGTGGTAGCAAGAGTGTGTGACTAGCATGCAGGAGGTATGGGTCAATACCACCAGCAAAATATAAGAAAAGTCCTGGGGCTGGGGATTTAGCTCAGCAGCAAAAGCGCCTGCCTGGCAAGCGCAAGGTCATGAGTTCGGTTCCCGGTACCGGAGAAAAACCAAAAAAAAAAAAAGAAAAGTCCTGAACACCCATGTCTTACTGTTGTCCGAAGTATCTGTCTCCTCTGCAGTAATAACTATTTACATTTTAGCGTCCCACCCTCAGCTAGAAACTCAGCCGTCACTTTTGCTTCCTGCTGCTTCCAGAGCCAGAGGCTCTGAATAGGAAGCCGGCTGCTTCCAATCTTCAGAATCGGTGTCAGAGAGGTAGGATTTATGCGCAGCGCTCACCACAGAGCAGTGCAAGCCTTGAGGCAGGGTAGAGCTGAGGGGAAGCGGGTGTTTATCGACAGCTTGCTTCGGGCCGCACATTTTTTTGGTTTTTCTCTGGTACCGGGAACCGAACTCACGACCTTGCGCTTGCCAGGCAGGCGCTTTTGCCGCTGAGCTAAATCCCCAGTCCCGAGATGCTGTGTCTTTTCACTCACCCTCTAAATTGTCACCATGATGTTAAAAAGCAAAGCACATGACATTTGCAGTGCTCCACCAGTATTTGTGTAGACCTTGAGATTTGGGAACATACTTCATAGGGTGGGGTTTACTATAATTACTGCCGTGCTTATAAATGTGTTTTTAAGATGGATTTTATTTATTAAGCATTGTAGATATGCAGACTAATTGCCTTTTCTGAGAGACTTTGAGTGTTTTGATTTATAAAGTTAACAAAGCATAGAACTGGTGTCTTTGATTAAACTAACTAAACATGTACTAGTAATTTTTTTTTTAGCTTGAGAATTGGTATGAAAGGTTAAGGAGTCACGCTTCCCAAAGTGAAATTCCATCCGAGGGAAGGAATTAAGATGTGCTCAGTTTCCTCGGGAAACAAGAACTATAATAGCAACTCTTCATAGACACCGTAGCTGCTGGAATCGAATGAGTTCAGTAAGCCCCAGCTGACACCACTTTATCACATGCCTGATTTAAATTTGTTTTGTGCATTTTTCTGACCTTTCAGGAATTATCTCCTACTACAGATACGAACCTGGTCCGATCCTTAATGAATCTAATAGACTGTTTCATGGATATTTTTGTGGATGAAGCCAAAGTAAAAGAGAGAAATGATCGAGAAGTTTACTCTCTGCTTGAGGTAAGGCCCATTGCCTTCTGTGTCCTAAGTGAAGACGCCTTCTGCTTCCCAGGGCTCCCTGACCCACCTCACTCCTGGAACTAGAGACAGGACAGCGGCAGGAGCTAAGGTGGGGGGAGAGTCCCACCCCGAGCCCCATGTGCTGGTGGGGAGCCTCCTAACCACTACCGTGCTGTGTTGTGAGCTTGAGGGGAGGCCCAGGGTCACCCCAGATCTACGGCTGCAATCTTAGGCCACCTGACTAGCACCAAAAGTGCTCTGGCCCCTCCAAACCATAGTAGTTTCTTACTTTTCCCGCCTTAATTTTCTTCCTTTTTTCATGAGAACAAATTTAAATACATGCATATAAAAGGGTGGATGTGTGGATGGGCATCACTATGTATTTAGGTTGAGGAAAGCAAGAAAATATATACTAATCATAAGAGGATTTTTGAAATAGAAATTCACATATCAACAGACTGGATATTTTTAACAAAATAGTTTCTAGAGAAACTATTTCTACTACTCACACTAGTGAGTAGTAATAATCAGAATAGTCCTTATAATGTGGTCAGTGTGGAGCTCATGGCTGATATTTTATGAAATAAATTAATTTTTAATTTGAGGAAAAGTAGACGTCTAAGAGAAGCAACCTGTGCAAAAAGTAGGTGTGGGAGCCCGGTTGAAGCAGAGTCTAGAACTTTTCTGAACATAGTCAGGACTGTGACGGCTTCAACACTTACAAAAGGATTTGATTTTAAAACAAACAACTGATGTTCTCAGCCATAGAGGACCTGGTCCGCCCCTGCTCCCTCTGCCTGAGTCTGAGCAGAAGAAAGCCAGTGTCTTTGGCTTGCAGGATGGCAACTTTAACTTCTGTAATTGATGCTCAGATATTATTGCAAATAATAGGACCCAAGTTGGTTCTACTTAAAGTAAACCCAACATGTCAAAACTTAAATCAAAAATGTACATTCTAGCTAATGCCATATTAAATGTGCCCCAAACCTGAATACCTGAATAAGGTTATCTCAACATTCCTTGTAATATCAGATAGATAGATAGATAGATAGATAGATAGATAGATAGATAGATATAGATATATAGATATAGATATAGATATTACCATGCATTTTACTATGGTAGTCATTCTGAAGTTTCAGTATGGCTAGAATTTATACTTTGCACTGTATTATCTTTAAGATTTTATAAGTGATTCACTTTGAAAAACATAACCTGCTCTCCTGCAGTCCTCGGATGACCTGTTCTGTATCAGCCCATGGGTTCCCTTTCAGACCCACTCATCTGCCTGCGCTGCGAGGACTGACTGCAATCCCGTTCTAATTCTGCTCTCTCTTCCCGTCTCACCAATGCAGGGCATTTTTATTTTCTCGTTGATCTGGTCCGTTGGTGCTTCTTGTACAGATGACGATCGGATGAAATTTAATAAGATTCTCCGAGAACTCATGGAAGGCCCGATTTCAGACCTAACACGAAATAGGTTCAAATTACAGAGCGGAGCTGAGCAAGTGTCCTCTAAGGCCCTGACTGTCACATTTCCTGAGAAAGGAACCATTTATGATTATCAATTTATCACCGAGGTAAGTGTTCTGGAGCAAATGGAGTCTCCTGCAGCACCCAGCACAGCGGCTCTGGGGCAGTCCCTGTCTGTGTACCTTGACAGCGCTGATGTGACGGCTTTGAAGTCAGACACACTGGAGTTTGAGTCCTAGTAGAGTTACTCTTTGCACAGGCTTAGACTGTTCAGTTTTCCTGAATCATTTTCCCCAGGGATTAGATGTGGTGCTAACAATACCGGGTGGGCCAGTAGCGCTCTCTGAATAGAATGTCACACTGTGGTGTCTCACCATCACCAGGCACACAGTGTTCAAGGGCTCCTTGTGGAGACAGATCCAGATGTCCGTGAGAACACCACAGGTACTAGGTCCTGTCTGGACAGAGCTGGTTAAATGTTAACACTCCCCAAATGGGTTGGACAATAAAACTTGGGTGGCGTTTGTTTGTTTTTATAAAAACTCCCATGAGTATTACCTTGAGGACAAAGTTCAGGAGTACATACAGATTTAAGTCAACCTGGGATCATGCCATGTTATCAATGGACAACTTTTATCTTCCTTCTTTACTTAATAAACAAAACACCTTTCCAGTTCATTCTCTTCAGTAAACCTACTTGATGAAGCCTCCCTTGGTGAATATTCTTGGATATAAGTCATGCTGTACACATCTCATTATTAAGTTACATGTTTAGAAAAGGCATGATTGTATTGAGTTTTGAATTTTGCGGCTCTTGAAATGTATGACCACACTCACCACACAGGGATTCTGCACTTTGCCCAGTGCAGATGTTACCTCTTTATCTTTGCTAATTTCATTTAATTACTACCAGTACCCTGCATTTTCAGAGCACTGTACAGTTTATTACACTTTCCACAGTTATTTTTACTTTGTTTTCCAATACCTCAGAGAAACAAGAAGGACAGGGTTATTGTGTAGATTTTACTATTAAGGGACTTGGGGTTCAGAGACCTCCAGGAGGTTTTCTGGGGTCACACAACCTCTCAGTGACGGTACAGTTCAGGTTTTCTGGTTCTTAGTCCCTCCTCCTTTATGGTGGCATAAGATACTTGTTTGAAAAGATTATCAAGGAAAGGTGTGATTTACTCCATCAGGTCTAGAATTCACTACAGTTTTCGCAGAGATAAGTTCCACTCCCTCAGAAATATTCCTACTATCCACACAACTCTGTTCTGGGACACGTGAGGTGAGCAGAGCGTAGTTCTGCCCTCAGTGGCTTTCTGTCCCCTGCAGGTGACAGTCATGCACATTGTGTGCCAAGGGAGTGTGAACAGATCTGGGTCCTATGCTGGGCATGTGTGGGACTCACGGGGCGTTGTGAGGGTGTTTTGGGGTAGGACAAAGTAAGGGAAGGGTGAGTCTGAATTCTGATGTGCTTTGAATGAGTAGGAGTTTAGATTTGATACTGTATTATGAATGGACAAGAGAGTGATATTTTTCTAGGGAGAAAATTAACATATTTTTTACCACTGTCCAAGAAAACTAAGATTTTCATTCACAAGCTAAGTGGATGCAAAAATGTAGCAGTACATTAACTCACAATAATCACAAAATTAGGAAATCCTGCCATTGTATAGATTTGTAACACACAATGTAAATGTAGTTAATACGGTTGAGCTGTATACTTGCAGTTCAGTACATTGTGTTTGTATTTCAATTACAATTTTTATAAAAAGAAGTCTTGCCTGAAATGATAAGCTGATGTTATAAATATCATTATAAAAGTCAAGCAATATGCAGTTGATCTTCTGTGAAGAAAATTCTTTATTGGTTAACATGGATTAAATAAAATTCTTTATTCTTTAATCCATTGATTAGTCAAATTTTTCAGTGCTGTTAACATATTTGTATATAATAATTTATCATTGGGTTAGCATAAGCAGTAGCTTCATGACATCAAAATAGAGCAGTAGTTATTGTCATTCCATTTTGATTTATCTAAGAGCCAAGATCTTTCTAAGTTACCCATAAAATTTAACTTTCAAACTGTTAAATGTTTTGTAAGACAAAATGTGTAAATATCAGGATGGGTGGGGCTTGATCTTTTCTACAGTAATGGGGAAATGCGGAATATGTTATAGCTTTCACTTTGGGGCTGTTCACTCCGAACAGGGAGTGGGAAGGTGGGAACCATGGATAAAGAAATTGGAAGATGCCCCTCCGATCCCTAAAGATGTGCTGTTTAATGAAATCATCGTGCCGACCTTGGACACGGTCCGATATTCCGTGCTGATGAATTTGCTGACTACGCATCAAAAGCCTTCCATATTTGTAGGCCCAACAGGAACCGGGAAGAGTTCTTACATCACTGTGAGTGTTACAGAAATCTGCCTGCTACAGTGTGTGTGATAACATTCTAGGGATGCTATTTTTCAACTAGTAGGCCTGGATAATTTTTAAGAAATACTCAAGTATCTTGTTGGAACCACAGAGATTTTGGGGGTAATTATTTACTTATTTTAGAAAATTGATTAGAGATATCATGTCAGGTGACAGTGCTATTTGATATCATAAATTACTGCCCCATTTGTTTCTGTATTTTAGTAAGAATAGCTTGTTGAGGGTGAAAATTATATCCCTGTAAAAGTGTGCTTTAGTTCACTGCATTTTATATTTAATTTTCTAAATTATGTTCTATCTGGAGGAGAGCTGTGTGAGTGGGAAGACCGGTTTTTCTCAGTGATCTCTGGAGCCACACCTGTTGGTAGTGGACATGTCACTGCACTAACCCAGCGAGTCTCAGGTGTCAGTGGCACTGTCCAGCCTGTGGGGAGGGGATGCCGTCATCACCCCGTCTTTCCTGACTTCCCAGGCCAATTTATGACAGTACTTGTCCTGGTTCTCTATTGATTTTATTTATAAATTTTAATTATTTAATACTTCCATAATATCCCTAGACATATAGTTAAATAATTGTCCTGGTACCATTCCTTTGTTGAATAATCTCAATTACAACATAATGAAATGACACTTTTCATCACTAAGTGCTTGGACATGGCAGGAGAGACCCAAGCAGAGAGAGGGGAAAACTCTGGGAGTTAAACCAAGGTGTTGACTTGGCCTGTGTCTTTTTCTTTTCTTTTCTTTTTGGCAGGAGAGACCCAAGCAGAGAGAGGGGAAAACTCTGGGAGTTAAACCAAGGTGTTGACTTGGCCTGTGTCTTTTTCTTTTCTTTTCTTTTCTTTTCTTTTCTTTTCTTGTTTCTTTTCTTTTCTTTTGAGACAGGGTCTCGCTATATAGCTCAGGCTGTCCTTGAACTCAGTATGTAACCCAGGCTGGCCTTCAACTCATGGTGATCCTCCTGCCTCAGCCTCCCAAGTGCTAGGATTACAGGTGTGCACCACCATGCGTGGCATGAGCTGTGTATTTCAAAAGAGATTGAAAATGTGTGGAAAGCACATTTATCCACAATATCTAGCCAGAATGGAGACTTAATTGAAGTCCTTCCTTAGAGGAAAGTACAGCTTCAGTGCTTGGTATCACCGTCAAATTCAGCCAAGCAACAAAACACCCGGACATGAAAACATTACTTTCCTCAAAATTGGTCACTTAATTTGTAATTTGCCTTTTTTCTTTACTTATATTTTAAATATTTTCCTACTTCATTATATGCTGTAAATGTTTTCTTATTTTATTATTACTTTGCAAGGTGATTTCAAGAATATTGTTTTATGATAATTTATTCATGTACCTAGCTTTTCTGGTATTCTGCTTTAAATATAAGATCACAATGAGCTCTTTGTAGTTAAATCTTTGTTCTCATCTCTTTCTGTTTACTGAGGAGCAGTTCCTAGATTTCTAGAAGTAAAAATATTGATTTTTTTCAGTAAGTGTTAAGTTGTTCAGCAAAATTATACTGACATAAGGAGTTCCTAAGGATCATTTCAATGTCCCAACTGATTAAGGCTTGGTTGGATTGTGAATAATACAGCTATGAGGGCTGAATGTTTCTTCTTCAGTGAATAAAATATTATATTGAGACAGTACCACCTAAGTCTTATTTTTATAAAGTAACTGTATGGAGAAGTTACTCATATAAGATGCTAAATGTATGTACCTACATTTTCCCTTATTGAAGTGATTAAGCAGGAATTTTACTGTTTAAGCTGGTTTTCTCCTCAAATTATTGCATGTCCGGATATATGTATTTTTAAAATAAACAATGAAAAATAAGTAGCACTCTAGAGATTACATTAAAATGTGGTGAATGAGAATGACACTTTAGAGCAGAGAAATTTACTTAAGACACTGGCCGAGAACAAATACATTGAAGAGGTTAAAAATCCTGTGATGGAGACAAGTGCATAATGTCCCAGAATTCATATGGTCCCTGGGCTGACTAAAATAACTGTCACAAAAAAAAATATTTAGTATTCATTGTGTTTCTCATTTAAATATCAGCTCTGTTCACATTTGAGTATTTTCCCTTTCACATAACTGCATAGTTTTCGTAGAATAATTTTAGTTAACTCATATAAATTGGTCACTAAGTTGATAATAGTAATAAGTAGCTTTTACAGACATGTACTTAATTTTCAGAGTATTATATGTTAACATCAAAAAGCATTCAGTTTTTTTCAATGGGTCAAGTGGAATTTTATCTGTGGGAGAATTAATTATGACAGATACTGATAATTCATTTAAACTAAAGAACAAGGCTTACCTGATAATAGCTTATGAAAACATAATATTTTATAATTTTAAGGCATCATGGTAAAAAGTAAAAATATAGTTCTTTATACATTTTTAAATCAATTTTTATCAACTTTTGAGTTTAGGGAAACACTTGATAATGGCCATATAACATATTAATTTTTTTGTTTCATTACATTATTTCTGCTTTCTTCTGGTTTTCATTTATGTGATCTATTTCTGCCTATACTTTGTACTTTAAGGATACAACATATCTATGCCAGGTATTTTATACTTGTATGTGATAATCTACGTCCTTTTGTGCAAACTTATCTTGGGTAAGTTGTCATGAAAAGTCATACTTCTGTATTTATATTTGTTAGTTTTTAATGTTCCTTTAATCTGTTCATATGATGTTGTGTTTATTTTCTTCCTGTTGACTTATGATGTTGTGAAAGTTATTTAAAATTCTATTAGCATTGCTTAAATCTACTTTAAAACACTGAAGGGTTTTTCTCAGGCCTGTCATTTTTCTGTAAATTCAGTTTTAAAATTATTAATAGCATGAATGACAATATTTACACTGTGACCCAGTTTTCTGTCTACTTAGATGTGGAAAGGTACAATATTACAACTGTATCCCCTAGTCTCTTCACCATTAATCTTATTTTTTATTGCTAATTATTTTTAATTTTATGTTTCAGCTCTTATTAGTTTTAAAATATTAATTACACTGAGATTTGCTTTATAACCATTTATGTTATAGTTAGATTTAGTTCTGATTTTAAATGGTTTCAATACTCACTGCCAAACTTTCTATGCCAACACTTATGTAGGTGTTGAAGACTCGTTTTCATTCTTGTTTTATTTATCCATCCAGCCATCCATCCACATACACTGGTCTATCCATCCATGCATCCATCCATACATCAGTCTATCCATCCACACATCCATCCATCCATCCATCCATCCATCCATCCATCCATCTGTCCATCCAACCATCCAGCCATCCATCTATCCATCCACCCATCCATCCACCCACCCATCCATCCATCCACACAACCATCAATCCAACCGTCCATCCATCCATCCATCCATCCACCCACCCATCTATCCAACCATCCATCCAACCATCTATCTAACCATCCATCCAACCATCCATCCATCCAACTATCTAACCATATAACCATCCATCCATTGATCTATCCATCCACCCATCTATCCAACCATCCATCCATTGATCTATCCATCCACCCATCTATCCAACCATCCATCCATTGATCTATGCATCCACCTATCTGTCCATCCAACCATCCATCCAACCATCCAACCACCCATCCAACCATCCAACCATCCATCCAACCATCCATCCATCCATCCAAAATGTATTGGTTACACACCATTTGACTTGCATTATAATAAAATGTTTACAGTCTATAATATCTACATGCAGACAAAGTGAGATCATATTTTAGAAACAGTCTTAAGCCAATAATACAGAAAACTTGTATGAATCCCAGACGTGTCATGAGATATCTTCATTATGGTAACTGGTCTGAATAGCTTATTATTTTTGAAAAAATGGTAGGTTCACTTGTTTTCAAAGCATTTTTCTCTTGAAATAATCTCTTCATTTGAATTTGGCAGTCATGAAAATAGATATTTAAATCATAAAAATCATGAAAATATATTTCTATATTTTACACTTTGCCATTCCTGATTTTTGTACTTATAGATATGAACAAAACTCCTGAAAGGTTTTAAAGAGCATACATTTTACGGTGGGCTCATTTTGTGTAAAAGAAAATAGATTTTGCAAAACAGCTGTCACTGGGCTGGTAGAAGGCATGAAAATTGCCCCTCATTTCACAACCTGTGGCCGGAACCCGACCCTCCTTCCTGGTTCTGTTTGTTCTGCCTCCCAGGACTCCTGACATGGGTACCACGTGTAATTATTAACGGCAACACCATGGTTCCTTTTAAAAACTGTGTTGCCTTGATAAATAAGTTAATACTTCCAAGTTTGCTTTCCGATTTTCCATGTGCTTAATTATGATAATGTACAGTGCATAATGGTGTTATGAAAGGGGAATTGCTTGAACTATTTTACCACCTGATATTTTGGGTTAATAATATAGTACCTTATAAACAATAAAGGTGAATTCTGGAAGCAATTAATGTGCATAAGGTTTGGAATGGGCAAAAATGCTCCACCTTTGCTCTCTCTTTTATCCATATATGTACATGGCAGTAGTACTTATTAAGAACATGTGATTTACTCAAGATTTTCTCTCAAATTGGCCTTTAATTAGGGAAAGAACATGCCCTCATGGGAACTCTCAAGGGAGAGAGAGAGAGAAGGTAAGGTGAGGAGAAGCAAGCGTATTTTGAAAAGCTCATTGGGAAATTCTGACATAGCCTCTCCCTGACACACCTCTTAAATATGAATGACTGGAATGGTGTTTTCAGTGAATTCCATTTTGAAAATTCAATTGTATAATTTAAGCCTTGTAACTTACAGAAAGATAGCTTGGTCTTTAAGTGGAAAGACACACCTTAGATTCTACCTCTCTTTGCCTTGTTACGATATGAACAGTTAAATTTGAGTCTATCAGCAGTGATGCTTGCTATTTATTCTGAAATGTCAAAACAGTTTCAACTCTGACTTATCATTCCCTCTTATGTAGAACTTTCTTTTAAATCAACTCCATAAGGACATCTACAAACCTCTGATCATCAACTTCTCAGCACAAACAACAGCAGCTCAAACCCAGAATATTATTATGTCAAAACTAGACAAAAGAAGAAAGGGAGTTTTTGGTCCTCCTTTGGGCAAGATAATGGTAACAGTTTTCTTCTTCTATATCCATAATAAAATTCTAGTCATACTCTTGTGTACTACTACCCTCAGAACAAAGGAAACCAAATACACTGAGGACAGATATTTTTGTTTTGTTTATTACAAATTTTGATTTAAAAATTTGCTACAACTGGTTGTATTACTCAGGTTTTCATCACTTGGACAAAATACCCAACACTCAAACCTTAAAGGAGGAGAGATTTATTTGGCCCATGGTTCATAAGGTTCAGTCCATGGTCAGCTGGCTCCAAGGCAGAAACAACATGGCAGAAGGACTTGGCAGAGGAAAGTTGCTCAGCCCATGGCAGCCAGGAAGCAGAGTTAGAAGGGAGGAGGTGGGGACCTGAATATACCCTTCCAGAGGTGTCCCAAGGATCCACCTCTTCTGACGAGTCCCAGCCTCTTAACAGCACACTCAACTATGAACTCACCAACAGATTAATCCACAGATGAGTATAGCAGCCCTGTGATCTAATCGTTTTCCAAAATCCCAACTCTGAACACATAGGAGTTTGGGGAGACATTTTAGATCTAAACCTTAGCACTGATTGTACTTATATGTATACTGGACATGTTTTTGGAAACATGGTCTTGCTGTGTTGTCCAGCTGACCTCAGCCTTTCAATCCTGCTGCCTTAGCCTCCCAAGTAGCTAGAGTTATGGGTGTGTACCTCTGCACCCAGCTTGCACTAGACACCTTGACAATAAAAACCAGCTGTTGCTCATTGAACTGAAAGTAGAATATTCCTTTGGAATATTATCTACCCTTCTAATTCTTTTGCTAATATATTTTCCCAACAGGGTCTTTACTGGTTGTTTTTCTAAACCTTTGAACTCAGCTACCAGCTGACTTAATCTCTGTTGCTCTGTGAAGTACACAATTCTCACCTTTACCCTCACACCTCAAAGGGTACGATCATCTACAAACACCTTTTAAATGAATTTCAGTGTTGTACAAGTAATAAAGATACAGGATATTAAGAATACCCGTGAAAGGGTTAAAAGGTCCTAAACTACTAACCTACAAAGATTAGTAATGATGTCTTCCTATTCCCAGAGGAACAAGAAATAGAAGAACTATCTCCCAATTCCATGAAAGCTAAATGTATTATTCTTGCCTGGAAAATAAATGATCACTTCCCATATATGTACTATACTGGAAGAAAATAATGATAGTTTGGCTTATTGTCATTTGTACAACGAGACGCTGTGTTGATGTGTGAATATTGTCCAGTACCTCTTTCCTTTCTGTTCCCAGGTTGTCTTTGTGGATGACGTCAATATGCCTGCTCGGGAGGTCTATGGGGCTCAGCCTCCCATCGAGTTACTTAGGCAGTGGTTAGATCACTGGAACTGGTACGACCTCAAAGACTGCTCCGTGATTAAACTGGTGGACATTCAGATCATGTGTGCTATGGGTCCTCCAGGTATGTGTCTTAAGTTGGTGACTTTTAAGATGGAAGATCACTCTGGCTGTATCTAAAGACGTAACCGGGAGAGAGAAACCTCACTGGACACTGAATCGCAATGTTTTGTGTGTGTACTTTTGATGTGTGTCCACGCCGACCTCACACACCGCAGTGGCTGCCTCTGTGAAGTGGGTGGCCCTGGATGAGTCATTTACCGACCAACCTTTCCAAGTCCTTTGCTCTCCTGCTTTCTGGGATGTGGCCTGCTATTTCCCATTCTTGCATTCCCAGAACCCAGGTGCATCACCCCAGAGCAGGTCATTTCCTTCTGTTTAAAGCTTCAACTGTGTAGAATAATCTGGCTTTGGAGACCCCCTCCCTGTGCCCGTTAAATCCCGTTCTTGTCCATCTCTGCATTTAGACTGGCTGCTAAGGGACTCTACGTGCGAAATGGCAAAAAGAGCCTTAAAAACACTTTACCTTTTCCAATGAGAAATATGTAAGTTCAGAGGAATCTCTAGGGAGATAAAAATCTTCCTGCTGGTGTGCCTAAAATGGCCTGACTCAAGGAAGTGGAGCTCTTTAACTGCTCTCTTCCTGACCTCAGGCCTGCACTGATATTCCTCATTTAATAACTGAGCTGGCATCTGTGGCCAGGTGGTTAAGTGGACTGGTTGCTAAATGAGCAATTGTGTATGGCGTGTACGTTACAAGATGTAGAACAAAGACATGGTCAAAGAAACTCCAATGCGGTGACTGTGCTTCTGTTTGCATCACTCTTACATGCAGTACTGTAATGTGTAACAGAACATAAATCTGCAATATAGTACGGTATAATCAGCAAAAGTCACTGTGCTGTATAAACAAGGTGTACTGTACAAAAAAGACACTGAGGCCCTATAAATGCGATGTACAGAACTGTACAAAAAAAAGATGGGTCTTAAGTCTGAGTAGCACACCTTGGTTTTAAGTTCAAATGTCTGTATTCTACTTTCACATTTTTCTTCTCTGAATGTACTGCAGCAGGGGGACTTTCTGGTATTTGTCCCCAGACCCTGATCTTCAGCTGACCTTTCACACAGACAGTTTGCCCCCCATCAGTAATTGTCCTCACACGCTCCCTGGTCCATTTTGATCTTTTTCTGCCTCTTCTAAATAAAAGGCTAAATGACTTGCGGATTGCAGGAGCTCTGCCCCTAGGCAGTCCCTGGTACTCATGTGCCCACTTCTCCCCGCCTGCGTGGGCACTGGACAGAGGAGTAGGCAAGTCCCTGGGCGATCTTCCCCTCAGGACGCATTTTCCACAGGTAGCACTATTTGTGAATGTCCTCACGGACGAGGAGGTGGAGACAGACCCAGGGAAGATCATCTCTCGCCTTCCTGGCCCCGGCCCTTGCACCGCCCTTTCCACTGCCCAGGAGAATCAGCGCTGAGTGGCAGTGAACAAATTCACAGACAGCCGGGCTCTTCTGATGTGTAGCAGCCATGACTCCTAGGTACACGCAGAGGGGGCCACACATCCTGCGTGTTTTCAGAAACAGGGCAGTGTAACTGAGTAGTAGAAAGAAATGCAGTTATCTGCCTTTAAACACTGAACATGTACCTGGATCGTTGTACAAAATATGTACTAAAGATATCATACCCTTTAAAACACTCTTTTATGAAAAGTTTTCATGATAGAATCTCCTTTAAAAAGCAAATGTAATGTGTCTGTATGTTAAATTTTATTTTGATGTTGGTGCTAGAGACCAAACCAGGGCCTTGTACATGTAAAGCATGTGCTGAGCTGCACTGAGCTACATCCCCAGCCTCACGCACTTGAAAGATGATGTCTTTTAAAATGATACGTTAAATTCTTGCCTACTTACCTAAAGCCTCATATTTGAAACCAATTTTATGAAAGTGAGATAATCCCCCGATTTTGAAAAATACAAGCAGCCAGCCAAGTAGCTGAAGTTACTACATAGACTGGTGCTGGGGAAATGAATTCCAAGTCACAGTGGAGGAAAACTAGGTGATCCGACAGCCTTGAGGTAGATTTCAGTAACGCGGGAAGATGCTAAGGTTAGGCCGCGTCGTCAGGGTCAAGGTAACGCTGTGCGGTGCTTCATCCAGATACTGACTGTGAAACAGTATCTACTGCTTTGGGCTGTGAGCCGCAGAGACCATGGGCAGAAGCTCTTCCTGTGTGGTGTGATCTCCTTTACTAATGTAAACCTTACTTGAGATTATGTCCATTTAGTTGAGCTCAGTCAGATAATGCAAGCAGAAAAGCAACATTTTGAGTTAGAGGAGAAGATGGTTTTGACGTCAGATAATCGGTCGCTTTTAACTCTGTGTGCCATGAATTTGCCATCTCTCAAACTATCTTAAGCTGCAAAAGGTTAGAGCAATTGCTGGTACATTCTAATAACATAACTATGCGGTTTTTTTTTAATATTCAGGTGGTGGCCGGAATCCAGTAACCCCTCGATACATGAGACATTTCAATATTATAACAATCAATGAATTCAGTGACAAATCCATGTTTGCCATCTTCTCTAGGATCTTGAACTGGCATTTAAAAATCTGGTATGTCATGGAAGGCCTGTGTGCTCTCTCACAGCGAGGGATGAAGTCTTTGGGAACTGTGTTAGTGTGAGTGCTGTTTCTCCAGGGATGGATTCCTTGAGGGCATCCCTCCCCGAGGGACAGGGACAGCTCACCGGGCTCCTCCCGCCTCCCCCTCCTGACAGCAGAACACACAAGGCCACTCACAGCTTCTGCTGCCCATCTTTGCGTTACTGGGTTGAGCATTTGCAACTGAGCAGTTCATGCTGCAGAGCGGTGCTGAGCTCACACGCGACTCCGATGTCCCTCAGAAGCACCGTGGAGAGCCGCAGGGCTCCCCGGCCCACCCCTGAGCAAGATAACCCTGGAGCTCCTCCCAGCTGGGAAAGCCCCACCCCTGCCCCACTGTGCCGATGGAGCAGCCAGCTCCCTCGCAAGCTGGATGTCAAACCCAGCCCATCTTCCCTGGGGAAGTGAGCCCCTTGTTGCTCCACCCCCACCATGCCCTTCACACTTTCCATCCTGCCCGGCAGTTTTGCTGCGCTTCCTCTTTTTCTGGTATGTGATGTCATCTTATTTTCTTCTCTTTCTCCAAAATCCCCCATTTCGCCAGTGTCCCTCGTTAAGTCTGTGGTGCAGGCACTTGGGTGGAGAAGCTGGGAAGCTTTTGTCTCGTGGACCCTGGCGGGCTCAGGGACCCTGGCGGGCTCAGGGATGTGTGCCTGGGCTGGTGCTTCCGTCCTTGTTGAAGTGGTTTAGGTGCACTCAGCCAATCCTGCCCAGCCCAAGGGGCCCCTTCGGACACAGTGTAAAAATGAGGAGTGGGGAGTAGAGCTTTCACAGCAGTAGAGGTCTATCGTTTTTATCAAGCGAGAAATGAGAAGTCTGAACCTCAGTGTGGTTGATTCAGCCATCGGTTTGGTCATGCTGAGCATCACTCATGTGATATAATTGTGTGTTTCTAATTTTTGTATTTAATTTTTTTCTTAAGCTATAAGTTTCCAGACGAGTTTCTAGATTTGACCAAACAAATTGTAAATGGCACGATGACTCTGTACAAAGACGCCATGAAGAATCTCTTGCCTACGCCCGCTAAGTCTCACTATTTGTTCAACCTCCGGGATTTCTCCCGTGTCATTCAGGGAGTTTGTCTGTCCAGACCGGAGACGGCAGAAACCCAGGAAGTGATGAAGCGTCTTTGGGTTCACGAGGTAACTTTCCCCATTATTGAAATGTGGTTATGCACGAAATAAACATGTACTATGCCAACAAGTAAGGGAAAAGAAAGATTTAGCAATTTATTTTGGGAGTGTATGTAGCTGTTCGGTGTTGTGATGGCCAATGATCAAGATAATCTGTTAAATAATTAATTCTAAGATATCTTATGATGTTTAAAATGCCTAGCCTTTCATTTTAAAGAAATTTTTGTTGATTTGTAAATCTTTAAAGTGCTGGTTGTGGTGGCGCATGCCTGTAATCCCAACACCCCAGAGGCTGAGATAGGAGGATTGCTGCGAGTCTGAGTCAAGCCTGGGCTACAAAGTGAGTTCAAGGTCAGCCTGAACTGCATAGCAAGACCTTGTCTCAAAAAAAATGAAAACAAACTCTTTAAAGTGACTTAACCCCTGGGGGAATTGTGAAATATATATGTGGGATCCAAGAGATGTAAGGAAGGGGAGGAAAAGAAGAGGGGACTGATAAAAAATGAATTAAGAGGCCAGGCATGGTGACACACGCCTATAATCCCAGCACTCGGGAGGCTGAAGCAGGAGGATTGCTATGAATTCAAGGCTAGCCTGAACTGCATAGCATGTTCCTATCTTTAATAAAATGAATGAAGAAATGTCATGTTCATGGACTGATGCCTACAAATGTAATCATTACCTGTTACAAACATGTACCAGTAAAAAAAGAAAAATGTTTTTGGAGTAGAATAATTCAAGATAATATTTTTAGAAGTAAATGCATTAATTTACATTATTTATTTGTACTATTACAAGATTAAAACAAGAAAAAAATCCAAAGCAAATCAGTTTGAGAAGTCATACTTTGAGCAGAGGAACGACTAAAGTATATCTAACTTCCTTTGGAATAGAGACGCACAAGCTATAAAAACTTAAAAGAGAGAGAAGGGAGAGGAAGAGAAAGAATGCAAAAAGTCACACAGCAAAAATTATGCTTCCACTTTTAAATGGGCCAAGACCGGGAATGGTGGAGGGAAAATGTCTAAACACAAGCCATTGTGATATAGAAACAGTACAGACATTGTAACTTAGTCGTGTAGCCAGGAAACCCGGAAGATGGGAGCATGTATGCCATGCTTGTATGCCACAAGCACGCGCAGGTTACGAAGGCTCCAGGTCCTAGTTTCTGTAGGCGTCGTAGAACCCCTGACCCTCTCGCCTGCAAAGCAGATCCCAGGGCCATCCACTCCGCCCCGCCTGCCGGCTCCCCTGAGGCACCTGGGAGTTCTGAGCACAAGGGATCCTGAGGCTCTGACCCACAACCTGCGGCGGGGACCCAGGCGAAGCTGCCGGCCTGCCAGTGAAAGGGAGAGGCCTAGAGGGCAGGTGGCCCTGAGCCACTGCCGCTGAGCCTTGCTTTGGGTCGCTGGAGCAGAGACAATCTAAGCCAGTGGCTCATCAGCAGCGGTTCATTGCTCGAGTTCTGGCGGCTGAGGGCTCCAGGCCAGGTGGCATCAGGGCTGGGGCCAGGGCCTCCTCCTCCCTAGATGGCACCTTCTGTGTTCTTGGCGCCATGGCAGGTGAGGCTCTTGGGCTCCTCTGTAAACCGCTGGTCTGTGTGGAGCAGGCTGTCGCTGTGACTTGTGAGCCACACAGCACACCCACCGCTCCAGAACGCATCCCTGAGCAGCACCGTGAGGACCCAGCTCGCCCCATGCACCCCATGCCGCAGGGCCTGGCTTTGACCCAGTCCCCACCAGCCCTCACCTGCCTACTGCGTCCTCCAGGCCTTGTTTCAGTCTCACCGATCACCTCTGTCCCTTTGGGCCACTCCTGGGCCCCCGAAGCTCAGCACCTCTTATTTGCCGTATTCTCCCGGATGCTGAGCACCGCGGGCGCTGTAGACGTTTCTTGCTTATGTCTTTATTGCCACAGAAGCTGTAGGAGAGCAGCGGTGTTGTGTAGTCACTGCTTTCCCTGCGCCTGGCACGTGGCAAGCGCTCAGCCAATCCAGGTGCCCCACACAGACGGGAGGAAGGTCGGGTGGCGCCCTGCTGTCACTGCCGCCGTCACTTGGGGTGAGAGGGCTGCTGCTCTCGCCCAACCCCAGGAGCTGTTCGCAGGCGCTGTTGTGCCTCGTGTAGTCTTTTTAGGATTCTGTCCTGCTTGAGAAGTCAGACAGCTGAGTTTTAACAATGACTGCCAGGCACTTGGGGCATTTAATGAAGTTTATGATGTATGAAACTTACAGCTTTTAAGCCAGGTGCGGTAGTGAATGCTTGTAATCACACTGTTGTGGGAGGCTGAGGCAGGAAGACTGCAAGTTCAAGTCCAGCCCAGGCAACTTAGTGACCTAGTGAGACCCTGTCTCAGAATAAGAAATAAAAAGTGTTGGGGACTGTAGCTCAGTGCCAAGGGTGCAGTTCTGGGTTCGGTCTCCAGAAACTATAAGAAATAATTCTAGTTTTTAATGACGACTTCCTATTCCCACATGTATTGTACACACACACACACACACACACACACACACACACACACAAAATCATAATGAGTCTAGGGCTCAGCTCGCACCCTTGCGTTGGTGCCCTACTTCCTTCTGAGGTACTGAGAGGGACAGTGTGTGGCTCAGGGAGTGGGTGTGGTCACTTCCCCTTCCTGCCCTCCTCCTCACAGCATCCGCATCCCCTGATGCTGAGCACCCCGACCCCGCTGGCTCCCTCCCTGCCTTGGATCCAATCGCCTCTCCTCAGTGGGGTCCACCCTGACCCCGCGGAGCAGTCTAGCCTGAGCCCCTGCCCACCCGGCATGCTCTCCGCCCTCGTCGGTCCTGGTCTCCTCCTCCCCTCACATTTGCCCCGGAGTCCCTTCCTCATGTTTATTGTCCAGGTCCCTCACACGGCATGTGAACTTCAGGAAGGAAGAACATCTTGTTCTTTTTTTTACGGATTTATCTGCAAGTGCCGAGAATAAACTCTGGTGCGTTGTTCTCGGCATTTCCAAAAATGTGATGTGATTGAACTCAGTGCTCTAAGCTGTGCTTTATTTCTGTTTGCTCAAGAGTGGCTTCTTCAGAGCCCGCTAGATATCAGAGAACATGGTAGGTGTCTTTTTCCTTCCTAGGTGTTGTGGCCGAGCTAATGCTCTACCCAAATTTCATAGAGCAGTTTTGAAGGCCTACAATGTCTCACTCTCCTTCTCCCTGGCTTCTCTAAGGCTCTGAAGCTTTAGGGAGCACACTACCTTGTTCGCATGCTAAATGTTGACTATTGATAAAGAGCGAGATAAAAGTTGAGAGAAAACAGGGAGGAAGGACTTCTGCAAAAGGGCAGGAGACCAAGAGATGGGGGAGGGGAGGAAAAGGAAGAGAAAAAGAATGGAGATGCGCAGTGCACACCCCAACCCCGCCCCCTGATTGTGATCCTGACATACTGCAGACGTGGGCTAATAAAAAAGGATTAGTTATTCTGTGTTAAAAGCCCCCATAGACAAAAGAGAAATGGACTTCATCAAAATTAAAACTTTTCAAAGGATACTATTGATAAAGGGAAAAGACAACGCATACACTGAAAGAAAACACTCGTAAGTCATTGATGAGCGTGTAGTATCCAGAATGCATAGCAGATGAATGCGACCCAACTCGCAAGAGGGCAAAGGCTGAGATTAGATATTTCTCCAAAGATGGCATACAGGCCGTCAGGAAGGTCTTGGAAAGATGTCCCATGCAACTAGTCATTGGGGAACCAAAACCCCCACAAAGGCCCCTGAAACGGCTAGCATGACCGTAATCAGCATAGCGAATGAGAACAAGCGTTGGAGAGGTCGTGAAATAATTGGGATCCTCGGACATGGCTGGTAGAAGTGTAATATGGAAAAGAGTTCGGCAGTTCACCCAAAGGTTACACCGACTACCATAGGACCCAGCAATCCTACTCCTAGCTGCATACCCCATAGAACGGATGAATAACCGCACAGAGCAAAGTGAGGCAACTCGAGTACCTGTCAGTTGATGTGGACAGATGCAGCGCTGCATGTGCACACAGTGGAGCTTTCTTCCACCCTCATCCAGGATGGGGATGTGTCCTATGTCACAGACAAACCTGGACAGTGTTATGCCAATAGAGGCCAGACACGAAAGACCACAGACAACCCCACATATATGAAAAGTCCAGAATAAGCACCTTAATAGACAGGGCTGGTGGGGGGAGGTGTTGAGAAGTGTCTGCTAGTAGGTACTTCTAGCAGACTTCTTTGGGAGATGGTGGAAAGTTCTGGAATTAGATAACGATGGATAGTTCTACTATTTTGTGGCTATTCTAAAAGTCATTGAATGTGCACTTTAGAAGAGTGAATTTGGGTCCAGGGGTATACTTGTATACCAGGCCTTAGATTTGATCTCCAGCACTATAAAACGGGATGAATTTTATATTACATGAATTTTATCTTTAGTTTGAAAATCTGCAGTTAATAACTTGACATGAAAGTCAAGGCACAAATTACAATACAAGGGTGCCAGAAATGATGTCCTTTGCAGCTATCTAGATTTATAGTAGAAAGTTTCACATGTTAACTTTTAAAAAGTGGGACGTGCCAGACGTGGTGGCACATGCCTGTGATCCCAACACTCGAGAGGCTGAGGCAGAAGGATCATTGCACGTTCAAGGCCAGCCTGGCCTACATAGCGAGACCCTACCTCAAAGAGAATAAAAAATACAAGCATGGGAAGTGGTGATAGAGCAATGGTCCCTGTGGCGGAGGGAGGGTCAGGAACACGGGGTGTGAACAGGAGGGGGCTGCAGAGGTGCTGGGAACATTTAGTAGCTTGATCTCAGTGGTGCTTACAAGGCTTGTGAATGTACAAAACCTCCTGGAACTGTATCCTTAACAGTGTGCCCCTCACATAACGAAAAGGAGACGGGGTTAAGGAGCATGGATGCCCCAGGCACCATGGGCACTGTGCTTCAGTTAGCAGGGGCCTGGGGGCTACCTTTCAGAAAGCGCCTCAGATGGCCCCTCTGCAGGTGTGCTGACAATATTTGAGAAGCTCTGCCTCAGGTTCTTGTTACCTTACCTCGAGATGGTAACACACTAGATTCATGGTCATGCGATAATCCTGAAATGTGGCGTTGGTTTAATTTCATTCTCTTCTCACATGGGAGTATTGTCTGAAGTCCTCAGCACCTCGATCCAGAGGAGTGGACATTTCCATATGCTGGAAAACTAGATTGTTCCATGAATAGCTTTTGAACTGGCTGAGGTTTGGAAAGGTGTAAGGCACACCATTTGCCTGTGAAGCCACCGTTGCTGGAGAAGGGGACGGTACTATTAAATCATTGATTTGACAGTGAAGACCCTGGTTCTCCAACACTACTGTTACCCTGACTCCAAGGTGGTTTATAACAATTACACATTTTGGTTCTAAAGCATTTGTTTTCACACATGTTGTCACTTTTGGTGCAAATCTGTGAGATTTGCAAAGTAGAGAGTATCACTGCCACTTTATAGGTGAAGGAGCTGGTGCAGATTGTTTGAGTGATTTGCCACAATTCCCAGTGCTGAGTCAGGATCCAACATCCTGCTGGCAAAAACCCGCACTGCTTATGTCATGTGAGGATTTGTCTACTTGGGGTGCCATGGCAAAATGCTGAGGCCCAGGACTTCACTGTAGAAATTAATTTTCTCACCCTTCTGGATGCTGGAAGTCCAAAATCAAGGCGGCATCAGTGTTTGTGAGAGGGAGAGGAGGGAAGGTCAAGGAGAGCGCATGCTGGGGACACCAGTCCTAGCACACCAGGGCCCAGCCTTGCGACGTTGTTTATCCATAATCATCTGCTTATCTCCAAATACAGTAACACTGAAGCTCAGAACTTCAACATATAGGGTGTGATCAAAGTATGTGCTGAGTGTTTAAATAAAAATTATTACAGAAAAGGACACATTGCCATTAATCCTGCTCAGAACGCTCCCCATCACTTCAAGAACCTGAGGCAGAGCTTCTCAAATATTGTCAGCACACCTGCAGAGGGGCCATCTGAGGTGCTTCCTGAAAGGTAGCCCCCAGGCCCCCTGCTAACTGAAGCACAGTGCCCCTGGTGCCTGGGGCATCCGTGCTCCTTAACCCCGTCTCCTTTTCATTATGTGAGGGGCACACTGCTAAGGATACAGTTCCAGGAGGTTTTGTACATTCACAAGCCTTGTAAGCACCACTGAGATCAAGCTACTAAATGTTCCCGAGTCAGTATGGTCAAAACTGATATTTAAAATAAACACCACTGCAAGTCAGTCTTGATTATTTGACTATGCTTTTAACAAACCTACAGACATCTTCTGACAGTGTTGTTACATTATTTTATAACTTATAGTCTAGAAATAAAAATTCAAAAATAAGAATTCACCCCTAAAATAACTTTTTAAAACTATACAGGTCCTTAGAGTTTACTACGATCGCCTTCTGGATAATGCAGACAGAAGCTGGCTTATCAACTACATTCAAGAAATTTTGAAAAGCCACATGCATGAAAATTTCCATGAGCTTTTTAAAAGTTTGGATTTCGATAATGATGGCGTGGTACAGGAGGATGACTTAAGAAGCTTAATGTTCTGTGATTTCCACGATCCCAAGCGGGAAGATACCAACTACAGGGAAGTGGCCAACGTGGACGGTCTCCGGATGATAGTGGAAACTCACCTGGAAGAATACAACAACATGAGCAAAAAGCCCATGAACCTCGTCTTATTCCGGTTCGCCATAGAACACATCAGCAGAATCTCCCGGATCTTGAAGCAGCCCCGGAGCCATGCCCTGCTGGTTGGGGTCGGGGGCAGCGGGAGGCAGTCTGTCACCCGGCTCGCTGCCCACATGTGTGATTATTCTGTTTTCCATGTTGAGATCTCCAAGGGCTACGGGAACAATGAGTGGCGCGAAGATTTAAAAGTGATCTTAAGAAAATGTGCCGAAGGAGACATGCAGGGTGTCTTCCTATTTACAGATACTCAGATTAAAAAAGAGACATTTCTAGAAGATGTCAATAATCTGCTGAATGCTGGGGAGGTTCCGAATCTCTTTGCATTAGATGAGAAGCAAGAGATCTGTGAAAAGATGCGTCAGTTAGATCGCCAACGGGATAAAACCAAACAGACGGACGGCAGCCCCGTAGCTCTTTTCAACATGTTCATTGATCGTTGCCGCAACCAGCTGCACGTGGTGCTGGCTATGAGTCCCATCGGAGATGCATTTCGGAATCGTCTTAGGAAGTTCCCTGCTCTTGTCAACTGCTGTACCATTGACTGGTTTCAGGTACAACCATATAAACTGTAGATAGACTTCCAGGAATGTTTAGACTCTGTTATCATTGGACTTACTTTATAGACTCCCCGCAAAATGTAGTTTGGCTTACTTTTCAGATCCATCATTGTGCATTGCATGTAATTGTAGTTATAAAAATCATACAATATAAAAATATTTGAGCACGTGTAGTCACGAATGCAAGTATATTGTAGAAAGTTTTAGAACTGTGTATATCAAGCAGTGTCCTGAAAGATAGCAGAATGTATTTGAAGACTTGATTGAGAAGAGTTAGGCTGGGTTAAGGCAACCAAGAAGGAATGCTGGAGATTCAGGAAGGGGTACACAGCAGCAGGAGGTTGTTACTACAGCTGGGTATAAAAGGGCAGCGGGAGGGAAGAGTGTTACTGAATCTCAGAGGGAGCATGGAGCTGTGGGAACAGGACTGCCCAACTGAAACCAGAAACCTAGAGCCCAACTTCTCTACCTCCACTTTCTTCTTCTTCCAACCTCTAGTCTCTAGTAGCCAAGCCTAACAAAACTCAAAAGAGCCAGAGGGACATTTTTTTGTAGTAAACTCCTGTGCCAGAATGCACTGACTTAAGCAGACAAAGAAGGAGAAGGGATATTGGGAGTGACAGAGAAGAGTAGCAAAGGAGACTGATGAGTTCACTGCAAAATAGTTTAGTTCTCCATCTGTCTTAACAATGTATTACAATGCATTCTCCACATTATAGGGAGAACTTTGCGGGCTGGGGCCAAGATCCTGTGAGTGGGATTTAGCACATGAGCTTTTAGAACCTTGAAAAATGTGTATAGACTCTCAAAACCTTCATGTTTGGGAAAAGTATTTCATGTAAAACCTATTTATTGAACTCTTTCTTGCTGTGTAGCAAGTCTTATTGTTAAAAGTTAGAGAAGAAAAGCCAAATAGAATGAACAAGTCCTCTGCTCTCCTAGAGCTTACTTTTAAATTAGCAAAAAATAGTTCCACTCTACTGGGTAGCACAGAGGGAGGAAAGGCTTTCTGAACAGGTGAGCTTTAGGAGCAAACATGAAAGAAAAAAGTGCTAGTGCCAAGGAGATCGAGCAGGGCAGCTAAGGAGTGGTACAACTGAGGCCTGGTAGACAGGCTGGGTCAATGTAGGTAAACCTTCACGAGCTGGTTTGGATTTCATCCTACATAGGCTGGAGGACTTCACAGGCTGGTGAGCTGGGTGTGTTCTGAGAGCTGACCTATGATTGAAAACAGTCCCCGTGCAACTGTGTAGAGAGCAAAACCTGCCCAGTCATGCTGGGCTATCCCAGGAAGATCAGGCTTATTGAGTTTAAGGTGTCCACAAATTCTCCAGAGAAATCAAGAAGACAGTTATTTATATGATTCTAGCATTTAGGAGGAAAAGCTAATATTTACCCCAAGGATTGTTGGGAGAATTGAGATAATACTAGTGAAATGCACACAGAAGCTGGGCGTGGTGGTGCATGC